GCGCAAAGCCCGGGTAGGGAGCGGAACAGCACGGAGCACGCAGGGCGGCCGGGTGTGCTTCAGCCCCCGGGATACTTTAAGCGCTTCCTAATGGTTTTAGGCAGAGAGCCTCCCCAAGCAGGGGCTCGCCCTCCAGGCGCTGCTGCCGGAGCTGGCTGAGGACGATGCCACCGCACCGGCGAGGGGCAGGAATCCTCCGGACCTCACCACGGAGGAGGTAGGGTCCGACCCCGCTGCCGCCGCGTGATGCCTGTGCTATAACCGCCTCTTATCCGCCTTACCGGATGATGCCAGGCTTAACGCCACAGCCTCTCTGGGTGCACGCACCCCCGGCACCCCCCAGGGCAGCGCTAAGGCAATTAGTGCTGGGAAATAGGACCGTTAGCCGCCTGCCCGGCCATGCTGCCTGCCCTGCCTGGCACCGGGAGCGTGTCCTTGCGGTGGCCCGGGCTGGTCCTGGCCACACGCAGCCCCTCCGGCTGGCCGTCGCTTTGGGACCTGGGGTCCAACGCAGCGCGGGGTCCTGGCTGGGAAAGCACCCGTTTTGGCGTCGTGGGTGGCTTCAGTGCCCGGACCAAGATGAGGGGGTGTAGCCCTGGGGGTCTGGGAGCGATGGAGGGATTGCACCCATCGCCGGGCGAAGCCTGGCTGGCTCCGGCTGCCGTGGGATGCCGCTTGCCCCCGCCAGCTTGTCAACGCCGAAGCCACCACCGTCCCTCTCTCCCTGCAGTACACGATGGCCCTGCGGAGGAAGAACAAGCATTTCAGGAGCATTCGGCCCACGCCAACCGTGAGAAGTAAGGCCACCGCGCGGCTTTCCCTCTGCCAAGGCTCGGTGTGTGCCGTGCTGCCTTCGCCAGGGCATGGCAGGGGCAGGGGGCTCGCAGCAGTGATCTGAGGGGCTGATGGGCAGAGCCATCCATGGTGATGCTACCGGGCAGAGGCCGGCAGGGATCCGGACCCTTCAGAGAGCCTCTCCCGGTGCCGTGGCACGGGTCTGCGGGCAAAGCGCACCTTGAGCTTGCTCTTGTCCTGGTTTTGGGGGGCTGGCTGGCTCAGCCCCCACGGGTAGCGGGGTAAATGCCCTGAGCTCCCTCCTCAGGTAGCCAGGCAGGGGTGGGAGGTTTGTCCATGACTCCAGATGCCGCGGCGTCTACCCCCCGCCCTCCCAG